TGAACCTCAAGGCAGATCGGGACGAGTGAGTCCAATCACCGACCGGTGAACGTCAATTTAATATCAATTTTAGTGGTCTGAATAGTGCCTTCGCCCTGAGAAGACAATAAAATCCCACAGCTATAAAAGTAAGAATTCTACAAAACAGATGAATACGTGAACCGGAAACAATCCCGCATCGAAGCTAACAAAAGCAGAACGGAGGTTCACCAGTAAGCATTTAAAAGCTCTACGATGGCCCCCATATAGCCATTGAAGGAGTTAGATTCGACGAACTTGCGGTTTCGATTATTCATCCTCAGATCAGAGTATCAACATAAGCTAGAGTGCAGCAGCAATAAAGAACACAACCAATGAAATGTTGCTGTGGAATGGAGTGAGGAGGGTTGAAGGCGTCCAGATACGTCGGCAGAACTAGAGTATAATTAGCTTAGATTTCGACGCAGGTTCCACAACAGAGTATTGCAGAGACGGCGACTTTCGCTAGATTATAGTAAAACTTTACTTTCGTCGGATCTACCTTACTCTCTCCCCTCACCTTCCTGGGCCCAGTGTCAAGACAAAGTCAAGATGATCGGAAGCGGGATCGGACGCGAGTCCACCCCTCTACTGCGAACCACAACGCCTGGCTAGGATCCTAGCTGAATAAGAGTGCCATAACGGCAACATTAAGGGGGAGCCATTGCAGGCTGACTCTCAGTCCGCTAGTTAGCCACTCCACACAATAAGACCCACATTGGACTTATTTCTAGGCCCCAGTTATCCCGTCAGTTAGCAACCCTTCAAGCTACGACTTTTAGCGCACTTTGATCGCTTCAAGCGCATCAGATTGTTGATACTGAGGAAAGAAATGCGCTAAATTGTCAACCTCACCCTCTGCGCAACCGCCAGCATTAAGCTGCCGTGCTAGACAGTCGATTGCTTGATGTGGGGTGAGCACAGTGGCTAGCAGAACCGGCGAAAAGTCTGCGTGCGCCACAGCACGAACTGGTCCCCTTGACACAGATCTTATACATCTGAACGTTGTCAAAACTATCGCCCCGTGGCTAACGTTTATTGATCGGTTTTAGTTTACGATTCAGTTCTCTTAAACCCCAAAGTGCTTCAGTAAAAATGCAACAAATTTGTAGGTCAACTGTTTTTTTGAACTGTGTGCAACATGTAGATCAGAGGTTGTGTGCATTCCGAGCGATATAATGGAAAAAGGAAGAGTTTCCTAGGAAAAATCATATTGAAGTGTGTTCTATATTTTAACTGTTACTACTAACTGCGGTCAAGTAACAATGATTAAAACACATTTACCATCGCCCGGCGCACAGTTATGGTTTGTACTCCGAGCAGCGGAAACGCGCCGGCCTCCGGGAGCCGGTGGCGACGACGCAGTCAACAAAGGACCTCGGCTCCTTAATCCTGGTATTTCTGACGGTTCAGATGATGTGCTATAGGAAGATATGCGAGCCTGGTAAACCTCTGGATTCAATATTCGCTGCTGCATCTTTTCGTCCAGAAGCTTCGTATCGAGACCAATCATTGGCCAGGCACAGCAGGGCAAGCAACATCGAAGAAACAACAGTTTGGCACTGCGACAAAGCAGTTGATACTTGGGGATCTTGCAGTTAGCCAGTGCGTCAAAAAGGCGCCATTTTAGATCGTTTAGAGTGGGTATGCTGAGGCGGGGGATAATGTCGTAGCCGTAGACGACAGAGCAAACAAACGGTTTGCAGAAGCGAGCCAGTGGCGCACTAAAAGACACAAAAACGGCCCAGCTGTAGGCACAGAATTCGCAAAACAACATTCGCAAAAAGGGCATCGGGCTGACCAGCCT